TAATGTGATTGCACTAGAATGAAATGGGGTGAAAGAGAGCATGAGATATAGGTTGAGTTATAATGGCATGATTCCGATTGGTTTGCATAAGTAGGGAGTTTTTGAAATTGTGTCGTTACGGTATCCTTGATATTGATATTTAGTACCTATCCATCTAACGTTAGCCTAGCAGCCACGTATGATTAGAGTCTCATCGTGTCTTTGTTTCGAACTATGCTTATTTCTTTTTACCATGTTGGTTGATTGCTTGAGGACAAGCAATGGTTTAAGTGTGGGGGTGTTTGATAACGCGAAATCATATCGTTTATTTGGCTTGATCTACATGCATTTATTTTTGAATATTGTTAATTCATCTTGATTTATGTTCTATTATACGGTTAATATACTTTGTTTTGCAGATTGTGGAGAATTTGGATTAAAGGAAGGAAAAGAGAGAAGAAAAACAGAAAATAACAGAGAAATGGAATTTGCGCGTGTGATGCTCGTCACAGCATCATCACGGTCTTCACGTACATGACGGTCGTCACAGAGCAACACGGTCGTTACATTTGTCACGCTCGTCACATATTCATCACGATCGTCATGCTCTCAAAAACATAATAACGTCAAACACAGAAGTGGCCACGAGCACGTTCAACTTAATCTCCTCCTACACTTTCTCCACTAACTGTCCACTACTGGAAGTTACTCCCACTTTCCCCATAACTCATGCATGATCTCTGGAAGTTGAGAAATGAAATATCTCCTATAAATAGGCCTGAGATTCACAGCATTGGGGGGAGGCCTTCGAGGTATCGAAGAGCTGCCGAAATTTCCATTGAAGCCGAATTTACGTTCTTGCATTATTTTCCCATTTCCTTTCCTTTTTATTTTCATTTGTATCGCTTTAATTTCTTCCTGTACCTTTACTTCTCGCCAAGGTTGAATCCTGCCAAAATTGTGGAGGACTACTCGAAGATCCGAGATCAGTACGATTTACAGGTTTTTATTAATTGAATATTTATTTTGTTTCCGTCATAATGCATATTTTATTTTTGTGTTGTTTATGTCTATTTCCATTTGCATTAATTATCATGTCTAGCTAAATTAGTTTTATCGGTATGTAATCGAATTAGTAGGATGGGATTCGATAATACCCAGTGCACCTTCCCTTTTTACAAACAATATTTTTGGCCGTAGTTTTTAATCTAAATTTCTAAATAAACCTTCGTCGCGAAAGCGAGAAATTATTTACAGTAGTTTTGCCATGAAAGTGGGAAATTCATTAAGGCACGAACCGACACGCGAAAGCTGGGGTTCAAACCGGATAGTAAGAACTAGGCATTGATTTTAAACACAGCGAAAACGCTTTAAAAGAAATCAGAACTTACTTATTTTCAAAGAGTAATTTAAACCCCGAATGGGACTGCGATAGCATACATTCTGCCTTAGAATTATGACCAGAGTCAATAACCAGCGTGAGACAAAGGTCTTTAAACGAGTATTTTCTTCTGAAGAGTGTTTGCAAAAACTAAAAACCACCGGCGACCTGTCTAATCCCCGATAACTAAGGCATTGCATACCGATATCCCTTATCAATATATTTCTAAAACTAAAAATCTTTATTTCCTTTGTTTTTAATTTCGTTCGCATTTAACTTTCCAAATTCCATTAGCCTTAGCTTTACGTCGTAACAATAGATAACGGTAGGTTGACATTGGTCTCTGTGGGTTCGAAAATCTTTTATATTACTTCGATATTTTCGTGTACTTGCAGAGCATCAGCCTTTTGCAGTTAAGGACGAAAAAGGAGATGGTCTACAACCTTTGATTCCTCTCCTCGATTGTTTGGATATGAGTTTCCTTACTCTACTATTTGAGTAATCGTTATTTAACAAACTACTTAACACATAAATCTTGTCTTTTCTCGCTCCTATGCGGCCGAAATCAATCAAACTTATCTATTCTCGTCCTCGTGCGATCAAAAACTTTTCAAAAACGGACATTGTTTAGTCCTTTCTAATGCGTATACAAACTAGGGCTTAAGCCTCCACTGTGAATAAACAAGCCAATGTTTAATCGTTAGAATGTGACCTAAACATTCATTTACTAAAATCAACCAACCAACACTCTTGGATACCAAAAACTACGTAGCTTTGAGTTCTCCATCGCACATGAAGTTGCGTAGGAGCGATATTCATCGTCTTGTTAAACACTATAACAAAATATCCAAAATTACATTTCGTCTTTGCCCCGAATTATGAAGCTTTAAGTTCCTCATTGTACCAGAAGATACATAGGAGCAAGACTCGAATCTTGTCAAACACCTAAATGAAAACATTTTTGCGACCCCTTTTATTTTTCTTTTAGCAATCGAAGAAAACAATTAATATTAGCTAACATTCAACGGAAAATAATATGTAGTGTAAGTGTAAATCCTAGTAAACTAAAAGTGCATAAAAAATAAATTGAATATTATCTTTAAAATTATGTATTTTATTTTAAAAATATTTTTTCAACATAAATTTTTGTTTGTTTGAAATTCTTTAGGTCCTTCTAACAAAATCAATCTAAATAAATAATATCTCATTCATCCTAAATTAACTAATCTAGTTAGTCAATTCGCACATGATAAAAAATAAATGTGTAAAAAAATATTGACTAAATTACAATTTTGATCCCTTTATTTTAGTCAATTTACGAAATCAATCCCCCTGTTTTATTTTTAATCAGTTTTAATCTCCTTTATCAATTTTGATTACAAAAATGATTATGTATCATTTTTAAAAAATATGTGACTCTATTGATGTGACATGCTTATTTCCAGCTAATTAATCTTATATTCCATATCATTTAAATATATTTGTTTAATTTAAATTTATTAATAATATTTTCCAAGTCATTTAAGTATATTTATTAAATAAAATATATTAAAAAATATGTTCAAGACGAAAACATCCCAAAAACGACAACGTCACCTCCATCACCAACACGACCACAATCTCATATCTCGTATCCACTTCACCAATTTTTTTTGCAACATAGCAGTTGTTTAACCAAACGAGATTCTTAGTTTTTTCCAACAGAATAGTAAAATATGAAGAAGAAATCAAAAGAAGAATGTGTGAAGAATGTTGAAGAAAAAATATATATTTTTGAATCTGCAAAGAATTAGAGAACCCTTGACATCTTTCTCGAAGAACGTTGAAGAAAAACCATTTTTTTAGATCTACAAAAGATTAGTGAACCTTTTCCTTTTTCCTCAATTAATGTTAAAGAAAAAGATGATGAGAAAATATTTTTTTTTAGATCTAAAAAGAATTGAAAAGTCTTTGCCTTTTTCTTCAATTTTTTGTTTGGAAAAAATTCTCTTTCTACGAAAAACAAGAAGAAGATTAATCAATGTAAAACAATTAACAAAAAAACAAAGAAGAAATACATATCTTGTAATTGAATCATTGTTTTCTCTCTCCATGTGGTCGATTAAGCTTTAGTTACTTCTACCTCTATTGTTTTTGCCTATGCATTTTTTTTTTTAAATTTAGGATTTTGTGAACATGATGTTGGGTTGGTTGAAAACACACATGCTAAAAAAGTAAGTTTCATATCGCTTAGTTTTGTGAATGAAGAGAGAGTCCAAGATTATATATATATATATATATATATATATATATATATATATATATATATATATATATATATATATATATATATATATATATATATATATGTATATATATATATATACATATATGTATATATATATATATACATATATATATATATATGTATGTATATATATATACATAGATATATATATATATATATACATATATATATAGATATATATACATATATATATATATATATATATATATATATATATATATATATATATATACATATATATATATATATATATATATATATATATATATATATATATATATATATATATATATATATATATATATATATATATATACATATATATATATATATATATATATATATATATATATATATATATATATATATATATATATATATATATATATATATATATAATACAAGTTATTTGAAGTTCCACATTGCTTAGTTTTGTGAAGGAAGTGAGAGTCCAATGCTATATAGGATTCAAGTTTTTTATTCCAAGATGTACCAGTCAAAAGCACTTTAAGCTTGTATTTGACTTTTTTTTATATTTTCTCTTATAGTCTCCGTTTTAAAGTGTTGTGAGAGGTAGTTAAATATATATACATACATATATATATATATATATATATATATATATATATATATATATATATATATATATATATATATATATATATATATATATAATACAAGTTATTTGAAGTTCCACATTGCTTAGTTTTGTGAAGGAAGTGAGAGTCCAATGCTATATAGGATTCAAGTTTTTTATTCCAAGATGTACCAGTCAAAAGCACTTTAAGCTTGTATTTGACTTTTTTTTATATTTTCTCTTATAGTCTCCGTTTTAAAGTGTTGTGAGAGGTAGTTAAATATTTATTTTGAAGAGTGTGAGTGTATTGGGACCTTGGGGTGGTTGGGGTAATCTATGTGTTGTAACAATTTTCACATAGTCTTATTCTCTGGTTGTCATTTGACAACGGTCATGGTTTTTTCACCGATTTTGGAGTTTTTACGTTAATCTCTCGTGTTATTATTGTGTTCCTCTTTTTCTCTATGCTTTGTTTTTTCCTAACAAATGGTAACTAGAGCCTTGGCTTGATGGGGTATAAATATTTTAGTATGCTTTGTGGTTGCAGTTTTGGTTGATCATCCACATCAGAAAAGAAATTTTATAATATGTTGGTTGAAAAATTTTGTTTTGTTGCAGGGAAGGTTTTGGTTGAAATGTCAAAATTTTCAAGTGCAGTGAAAATTGACTTAGAGAAATTCGATGGAATAATTAATTTTGCCTTGTGGAAAATTTAAGTTAAAGATGTTTTGATACAATTAGGATTACACAAGACATTGAAAGAAAACATTTCCAACATGGACAACGAGAAGTGGGAGGAATTAGATTTGAAAGCTTTGAGTACAATCCACATGTCTTTGGCTATGAATATTCTTGTGAATGTTCTTGGTACGTCGTTAGGCAAAGAGCTTTGGGAGAAACTTGAAGGGCTATATCAAGGAAATGGTATATCAAATTGTTTATTGTTGAAGGAGCAGTTTCATAGCTTATGTATGAATGAACATACAAAAGTATCTGATCATTTAAGTGTTCTAAATGGTAATGTTTCTGAATTAGAAACTATTGGAGTCAAGATTGATGATGAAGATAAAGCTTTAAGACTCATATAGTCTTTTCCATCTTCCTATAAGCATATTAAACCTGTTTTAATATATGGGAAGGAAACTTTGAGCTTTGAAGAAGTTGTTAGTAAGATTATTTCTGAAGAAAGAAGATTGAAAGGTGAGGAGAATACTTCATCAAACTCAGTGTTGGTTGCTAGAGGAAGGTCGTATGTGAAGAAAAACAATGAAACGAGTGTGAGATGTTGGAAATATGGAAAACTTGGACATATAAAGTATAAGTGTCCTGATTAGGCTGCGTCAGAGAAGGGCTCTGAGTCAAATGCTAGCAATGTCTCTCTCGCTGTGAGAGAGGATGATCTTCTCTGAAAATTGAGAAGTGTGTTCTCATGACATTTCCGCTGTCATGGAAAAGGACAAGTTATTGCTAGCGGATTAACACATGGGCATTAATGCAAAGTATGCTGTGACATTATGTCTATGATTAAAGAGCTTCCTGTCAACAAGAAAGTTGCACCATAAAGTTTCAACCTGATTTTCGACATGGAAAAATTCTCGAAGTGGTTTAACTTCAAGTGAAGTATACTCTTCTTTAGGTGGAGTATGACAATTTTTTAAAACTATGATTGTCGGTGAAGACAATGTGGAATTCTTGGAGTTGTGTAGCTTCAAGTGATTATACTCTTTATGGTGGAGTATGATTGTCGGTGAAGACAATGAAAGCTTATGTATTATTTTTAATCAAGGTGGAGATTGTTGGGGTTGATTGAAAATATACATTTTAAAGAAGTCCCAAATTGCTTAATTTTGTGAATGAAGAGAGAGTCTAAGGCTATATATATATATATATATATATATATATATATATATATATATATATATATATATATATATATATATATATATATATATATATATATATATATATATATATATATATATATATATATATATATATATATATATATATATATATATATATATATATATATATATATATATTATAAGTTATTTATTATTATTACAGGGTAGGAATTTCAAGCTGGATACTTACATTCCAGATTATTACAGGGTAGGAAGGTACAAGGCAGGTTATAAGCATGTGATCTACCTTGTTAATGGAGCAAACTTGTAGGTTAAGACACCATACCCAGATGTGCAACCACCCAAGTTCAGGAAGATGCCAGGTAGACCTAAAAAGAAGAGGAATCTAGAACAAGGTGAAATTGATGGGTCTACTCGCAAATTGAGAAGAACAGGTTTTCTGGTGAAGTGTAGTAGGTGTAAGAAAGTAGGACATTACAAATCTACTTGTAAGGACACAACAACCTAGCCAACAATCAGCCCAACTCAATCACACTCCATCTCAGACTGCTCAACAAACTAGTCAACACACTCCATCTCAGACTGCTCAACAAACTAGTCACCACACTTCAACAAGTCAGCCTACTCAACAATCTCGCCAAGCATCTCAGACTTCTAATGGAAAGGCTGCTAAGGGCAAGACACAAAAGCTTCCTGTAAGGAAGCCAACAAGACCTTTTGTGCCACCTGGTCCTACAACTATGTTGAGTGTTGCGAAGAATGTTGTTGGCCCAGTAACAAGGAGGTCTACTCCAACAAAGAGGACCACGCCAAAGAAGAAACTCTAAGTTGTGGAACATGTTTAGTTACCTAGAACAAGTTTATGTATTGTACTGCTGTCATTTTGGAACAAGTCTATTACATTCTACTGTTGTTGTCATGAACAAGTTTATGTGTTATAATTTGAACATGTTGTACTCTACTGCTGTCATGAACAAGTTTATAATTTGAACATGTTGTACTCTACTGCTGTCATGAACAAGTTTATAGTCTGAACATGTTGTACTCTACTGCTGTCATGAACAAGTTTTACAGTTGTTGTATTTTACTGCTGTCATGAACATGTTATATTGGAAAGTATTACAGATTTATAATTTGAACATGTTGTACCTTACTGCTGTGATATACCAAAGAGCAGAACCTAAAACTGTGATATAATCTAAACTGTTATATACCAAACATAAAAAACTGTGACCTAAAAGCAGAACTGTTATATGTATGCTGCTTATACCAAACATATAATCCAAAATTGTTATATACCAAACATATAATCCAAACTTTTATGCTGCAAAACTGTATGCTGTAAAACATGTATATATGTATGCTGCAAAACTGTGACCTAAAAGCAGAACTGTTATATGTATGCTGCTTATACCAAACATGTATGCTGCAAAATATGTATATATGTATGCTGCAAAACTGTGACCTAAAAGCAGAACTGTTATATGTATGCTGCTTATACCAAACATGTATGCTGCAAAACTGTTATATGCCAAACATATAATCCAAACTTTTATGGATGCTGCTTTATGTATAACCAAAACTATTATATGTATAACCAAAACTGGGTAAAACACTTTAACCTAAAAGCATAACCTAAAAGCAGTCCAAACTGTTATATGTATGTTGCTGTTATATACCAAACTGTTATATACCAAACATAATCCAAACTGTTATATACCAAATATAAAAAACACATTGACATGATATAATCCAAAAATGTTATATTCATTCATGTTGAACTGCAAAAACTGAAATTAACTAAATTGATACAATCCATATATTAAAATCCAACTATTACATTCATGTTGAAGTCATACAAACTTTAACTAAACATAATACTTCCAAACAAACCGTAATAACCTAACTACCCCTAACAACTAATACAATGATAATCATCACAAACATCAAATTCAAAATCTTTTTCCACTTCATGATATTCTTCATCTCAATTTCAAGTTTCATCAGCTTTTTTCCTAATTCTTCATTTTCCATTATCGCTTTTTCAATGTCCTTTTTTGCTTCAACAAGTCCCTTAGTTACAACTGAAGGTGAGAAAAACACTTAGAAGGGGGGGGGGGGGGGGGTTGAATAAGAGTTTTAAGAAATATGGCAATAAAAACAACTCAAGATTTTTATCCTAGTTCGTTGAACTTAACTACTCCAGTCCACCTTATCAAAGATGATTTGCCTTTCTCTACAAGGACTTAATCCACTATTGATCAACTGATTACAATAGAAAGCACTAAGAACAACTGTTTTAGTCTTCTCAAGAACTACTGACCACACCTTGGTCTTCTTAAGGAACTTCTTACAATTTAATGTAAATTAACAAGTGTTTAGATGCTTCTAATAAGCTGTATCACAACTGTGATGTTTACACTTAAGATTAAGTACAACAAAAACTATATGGTTTTATGAAAGATCAAATGAGTAAGATCTTGTGAGATTTTCTCTTTTATGAATCAAGCGTGTATTTCTTTCTGAGTGATCTAGCAATGAGCCAACTGTGAGTAGTGAATTAGCAACCTCAAAATGTTGAAGTAGTTTTCCTTTTGTAGCTTTTTCAAATGCTTTGAGTGATGTGCAGCTGAATATAATATTTGATTGTATGACTTTTCATCACCAAAAGTATGGGCAGAGATATGCTTTCTGTAGAAAGGTATGGTTGTAGAAGCCTTGGGATTTGCACCACATCACTTCTTTGGACAAATTAGCCGTTGATTACTTTGGAAGTAGCACCACGTCTAATCAAGTTTACAGATTCTTTAACAAGCTTCCTTCAAGATGAAGTCTTCATAATCTGCACTTCAGAACTTGTAGTAAGCATAAAAGGTATGGAATGCTTTAAGATGATCAGAGCTTAAGATGAATGATAAGTTCAGAGTCTTGATAGATGATCAGATCTCGACCATAGCAAATCCGCTTGAGATATGAGCGTTCGTATCCGATTAACTGAATTAGGATTGGAGAACATCACGAAGAAGGGGTGGGTACAAATTAACTTTGAGCCTATATCCTTTGTTTCTTAAACCGTGAACCGAGCCACGATACAACCTTTAAAAGACCTAATTGAAGTAGGACTTCGGTTGAAAACATACTCGACAAGATCACGTTTCCTGACTCCTACGAGCTATGCTCAGAAAAAAATTCATGTTGGCATTATAATTAAAACTTATATCCTGACTAGTGATTTCGGTCACAAGTCATTGCGATATCTTTTTCAAAACAAAAATTCAAGACGAATATATGTGTACATTGACCAGCTCAGGATAGGCATTTCAGGCATGACGACTTTGCTTGATATCTTAGAGATTTACATATGGACATAACTCATGGAACTTGAAGATCCTGCAAAACAGGGGCAAGCAGTTTCCCAGTTCGCTCACCAACGCGAGGCTGACGTTCTCAAGAGCTGTTTCTCAAAGATTTCGTCATAACACGATTAATTTGTGCCAGTTACGTCGAGACCTGACAAATCTCTCAAAGAGTTTGAAAACAGTGGGGCAACCAGACTCCATGTTTCTCTATAAAATCCTCTTGAGATGACCATACCTCACAACACAAGTATTCTGGGGCACCATGTTTTTGAAGAAACAAATGGCGACTACTATAAGGTCCTTCAAGATCAAAACTATGTGGCTTCACAATTTTTTTCATGCACCCGATGGATTTTACTCACGGCGGCCTTCATTCTCCAGTAAATCTCAGCGTGCAACAGGCTCCTAAACTATTGCCTCATCACAGTCCCCAGAGAGACTATAAGCTGACAACTTCTTCTTGGGGTAACTCAAAAGTGTCCCTCAGGTTTTCTTCTCCCCATAAGAAGGCGTGATACTGTACACCACAAGCAGATTACCTTCCCTCAGAGAATTCAGAACTTTAAAACCAGATCCGGTTCTACCATTGATCTTTCTTACCCATGATTGACGTATTGGTTGCAGAGAACGCAGGGTATCTCCGTCGAGATGTTTATTTCATCTCTCGTCCCGTCTCTAGTCTGTTTCGTCAGCATATGCAAGGGCATAAGCATCACATGCCTATATTCATTACATATTCATTACATACTCATTACATACTCATTTCATAACATCTTGCATACATAAACATTAACATACATAGACATTAACATACATAGACATTAACATACATTCATATTAACATATTCATTAACATACGCGTTA